TAGATGTCCAGGCAGTGTTCTAATTCTCTTTCAACAGTTGGTGGGTTCATGTGTGTCTTTAAAGCTCCCTCTGCCTCCTGGTTGAGAGCTGCGGGACACGTGGTTAGCCCAGTGCAGGTGTCACACGGTGTTCTGTCTGTTGTGTCCCCACTCTTTTCAGCCTCAATTATCTCATCTGGAAAATGGGGGCAATGCCATGGTGGGTGGAAGGATTCAAGGAGACTCGATGTCTCGAATCGGTCTCAGCAGGACCATGTCCGTAACCGCTGGTTGGAGCAGATGATCCATTAACCCTTCCAAACCCACAAGAGGGCGACACGTGGCAAACAGCATCAGGTGGAAAAGCCAGGACCTGGGGACTTCTGTGCAGCCTTACTGGGCTGTGGCCAGAAAGCTCTGGGAGTCGCCACATGAGATAACATCAGCAATGACAGTGAAGATGATTACAACTGGTGTATCTGTCACTTACAGAGTGCTTTAGGATTAAAGGTGTTACTGTGTAACAGTGTTAGTGGAGGACACACGGTTAACATGCCCATTTTCCAGATGGGGAAACTGAGGCACAGAGGGGATAAGTAGCTTGTTGTAGGGTACACAGCTGTGAAGTGGCAGTCCCAGGATGGGAACCCAGGACACCTGGTTGCAGAACTGGTCACGGTGGGCTTGATTCCTGCTGTGAGCACCCACAGCGGGCAGCGGGCACTTTGGAAATCTGGAGGGTTTGTTAAAAAAGTAGCAACCCCGGTCCCTCTCCTGATTTCTGACCTTCTAGATCCAGAGCAGGTCCTGAGAATCAGGGTGAGACTGTGTGGAGACGAGGAAGGAGAGGGGGAGGGAGAGAGGTCTCTGCACCTCTGACCTTTTCTTATTAGCCAGCCACGTTTTATAATACTCACAAAATAACATCGATACCAGTAAGCTCTATGCCTGCATCTGCTCTGTGCAAACCACAGGGTGGGACTGTGATTGTGCCCATTTTATAGACGAGGACACCAGGGCCTGGAGAGAGAAGTCACTTGCCAAGGCCACCCAGCCAATTCACGTGGGGTCGGGATTTGAGGCCCAGGAGCTGTGTGCATCACCGGTCACCATGCTGGGCCTCTAGGCGTCAGCCCAGCGGGAGACGTGGCTGCCAGCTTAGACACTGAAATGACAGGGGCCATCTCAGAGGTCCCAACAGCTGCCTATCATGGGCATATATTTTTCTTTTTGTTATTGAAACTTTCCAAAATATATCAAATGGGTAGAACAGTATAACAAAGCCCCCAGGGACCCATCGCCCGCAGCAGTTCCCACTGATCTGCTGTTCTTGTTTCTTCCACTCACTGCCACTCCATGATTACCGTCTTTTTTTTTTTTTTTTTTTTACAGTTTTTTAAAGTAAAATGTATATTCATTGAAATGCACAAGTCTGGGCAGTTAAATTTTGAACACTCAAGGAACCCGCACCTGGACCACAATGCAGAACATTTCCCGCTTCCCGGGAAATTCCCCTTTCATTTCTTTAACGTTGCCATTGGAATGGAAACACAAATAGAAAATTCTCACTGGGAACTCTGGAGCTCCCCTTCCCTTGAAATTCACCCTCGGGTCCTTCTGGAGAAGCCTCATTCGGGAAGCACACCCCCTCCCGTCTCTAATTCTGCGGGTCTGAAGTTCACAGCGAGGCTGGGCCACACCCAAAACTAGAGCCAGGGAGGAGGAAAGAACGAATTTGGAGCCACCCTGGGGGAGCTTGTGAACACTTCTAGGCCAGGAGCAGTGCACCTGAACTCCAGATGGAGAGGATCCCATGTGCCAGCGTCTTTCTAGATCATTCTGGGATCTGGGACCTGAGAGGAAGAGGGGAAGCCGCTCTCCACTCTGTTCCTTTCTCTTCGTTTGTTTGTTTGTTTGTTTTGGAGACAGGGTCTCACTCTCTTGCCCGGGCGCGAGTGCAGTGGTGCCAGTGTAGCTCACAGCAGCCTCGAACTCTTGGGCTCAGGCAATCCCCCTGCCTCAGCCCCCTGAATAGCTGGGGCTACAGGCGTGTGCCACCAGGCCTGGCTAATTTTTCTATTTTTTTGTAGAGATGGCATTTCGCTATGTTGGCCAGGCTAGTCTCGAACTCCTGACCTCAAGCGATCCTCCTGCCTCTTTTCCCAAAGTGCTGGGATTACAGGCCTGTCTCCCTACCTACAGAATAGGGATGACAAAAGCCCCTGTGTGGTAGAGATTTAGCGTGGGTGAATGAAGTGATGCGCGTAGAGTACTTAAGCCAGTGCCCAGCATGGAGGCGGCCTGTGACCGATGTGATTTGTCCTCATGATTATTGCAGTCGGTCCTCGTGCTTCACAGGTTCCGTGTTTGCGATGCGCCTGTTGCTAACGTTTGTAACCCCAAAATGGTGCCTTCCCGGTCAGAGGCGTGCAGAGCGGCGAAACACGTTTGAGCTGCCCGACGTGCACGTTCTCAGCCAAGGTCAAGCAAGGCGACGCTCTGCCTCCCCATTTCCGCTCACATCGCACACTCGCGTCCCTTCACAATCTATTTAGTGCCTCGTTTTTCGCGTCTTTGCATCTTTCATTGGTGACTTCGCACGACACGGCTGCAAGCGTGGCGCCGAAGCGCGGTCCAGGGCTCTGAGGTGCAGGAAGGCTGTCGCGTGCCTTTCGGAGAATATACGTGCGTTAGAGGAGCGTCACTCAGGTGGGAGTTACGGTCCCGTTGGCTGTGGGCTCAGTGTGAATGAATCAGCGTTATGTATCAAAGAAGGCGTCTTTAAACAGAGACACACACAAAGCAAGGTGACGCACGGATCGGTCGATGGCCGTGTTGTGGCCGGAGGCTGGCAGGAGCCTAGCCCTGCGTTTTCCCCAGGAGCCGCGGCTCGGGGTGGCCGATTCAGTGTGCGCGGTGGCTTTATAGAACCCAACTGCTGCTGCACGTGGCAAGGGTCGGCTATATTTTACTAGACTGAAGTGCCAGTGAATGGCGTAGCGTGACGCTGTGTGCTCTAGTGTGGTGTGTGTACACGGTACGCACGGTGATGGTCAGTGCTGCTTTGCGTGATTTTAAACCTGTATTTGTGCTTTCCTTTCTTATTGCCCCATTAACATTGTCTTTTCAACCCTCCCTGTGTCTTCCGTCCTCCCCTCCTCCCCTCCCCTTAGTCCGTCCGCCTCTCTCACAACCACGCCCCCCTTACCTGTGTGTCTGTCTGTCTTGATTTCTTTTTCCTGTTCGCTGACTGTCTCGCTCACAGCCTCTCTCTCATTCTCTCTCCACAGCTGGCCCCCGAAAGGACCCTCTCCAAGTCCCCAGCTGGGGGCCCCGCGTAGACCTGGAGCGGACACCCCCTCCTTCCCTTCATGATTCGTTTGTAGCGCAGGTAACCAGGGAAGCATCCCAGCTCATTCCCGGCGGGGCGGTGTCCTCATTCCGCCTTCCCAGGTTCCCCTTTGGTCCCTGGATGAGGAAGGAACATTGCTTCTCAGCAGAGCCTGGCGTGGCGACATCCCTCAGCTCTTCCCTCTCCTGCCCCGGCCCCTGGGTCACACCGCTGCTACCAGGGTCTTCCCCCTTCTTCAAGAGTCTTTGCAGATCTTGCCTTTTTGTGCCCCCCGTGGGCTGGTTGGGGGTGGGCAGGGGTTCGTAGGCCACAGACCCAGCGGCACAGGGAGAAGAAGCGTGGCGAGGCAGGGGCATGGGGCGGGTGAGAGCCTGTCCTCACCACCTCCGATGCAGCAGACACCTGGGGGGGCCTCTCTGGGGACAGTCCCCATGGTGCGTGGGGCTCTGGGGGTGCATGTGTTTGTGCTGCGTGGCGGGGAGGGGGATCCATGGACCCCGGGGAAACGGTAACATTTTCCCCCACGTGCGTGTGTCTGGCAAGAGGGCCTTTCATCAGATGCCCACAGCACTGCTCAGAGAAGACCCCTAACCTCCCGTGGGAGGTCCTTGTCTGAGACCCTTCGTTATGTCACAGAGCACTTGAGGATGCGGGCGTTGGGGGTGGCAAGGAGGAGCTCCCTCTTAGGGGAGTTCAGGGAAGGCTGTTGGGGTGAGGGCTGAGACCCAGCCGAGAGCGCAGGTAGGATTTTGTATGTGGGCTTTTTAGGGTGGGGGGTGGGGATCCACATGACGGTCACCACATCCCCAGTGAGGGTCAGGACCCCCCACCCCAGGGCAGAAAAGAGAGGAAGAACCTCGAGCTGTAGATTTGCACGTTCAGGGACGTTGTCTTCTTTCTCATCGCGTCCCGTGTGCCGCTATTGGGAGGAGAGGACAGCGGCGGGTGCAGGAAGCAATGGGGGGGTGGGTGGAAGGGTGGGTTGGTTTGGGTGTTTGGCAGAAGGGAAACACGGCTGGACGGGAGCTTGGAAGGATGGAGGGATGGAGGGATGGGTAGGTGGATGGGGAGGGACATT